GTATTTCATGTTTTTAAGAAGGTTGTTGCGAATGCACTTTTGCGCATGTTTTTTTACATGTACATTTGTGCATGTCCATTTGAGCGATTGTGTTTGTGCATGTTTGTGTATATGTATTAATGTCCTAGGATTGTAGTTTGTGTTTTCACGATCCTTTTTGCGTATGCACTTTTGCGTGAGTACTTTTGTGCGTGCTTTTGTTGTTTTTTTTTGTTTTTCAAGAGAACGACACCCGATGAGGGTGGGGGGTTAGGCTTGACCCCCTACCTGTTTATAAAACAAAATTTAAGAAGTACATAATGAGTTTCGCTCAAATTGCTACTGCCCAACATATGGCTAATAATAGCAATTGACAAACAAAAGACAATAGGTAACTAACAAAACGTTAAGAAAACGGGCAAAACAGGTGGCCCAAATAATAAAAAGGACGGGGTGGGAATGATCATAGAAGGTCGGGGAAGACCAAGGTAGACCGTTCGTCTCACCACAACAGCCGAGGCCACTTACACTTTCGCCAAAAATGGACGAAACAGGTATAACGGCTGCGAAATGTGTGGCACCATTCGGCAAACAGTCTAGTCTTGATAGACCCAAACAATCCATAATCACCCCAACCCTTCCTAACATGTAAAGTTCACGAAAATTCCTAAATTGCCAATAATATAAAAACGTGGAATGCATGGCACCTATGTGCGAGACTGTCGTCGAAAGGATGGATATCCAAGCTGGTCCATCCGAATCATCTGCTGAATAGGTCGGGGAAGTTCCGCTGTTGTGAAGGTACGAGCCAACTCGGTCTGACACCCCAAGTTAGCTAATGCATCAGCTACTTTATTTCCCTCCGGTTAGATATGTGTAATCCTGTACTCCAAAGTAGAAAGAGAGTTCCGGATCGCCGTGAGAGAACTCTGAAGACTCCAATGACCTTGGTCCGTGTGCGAAAGAAGTCGAACAGCGACTTCTGCGTCAAGCTCGATCCAAACTCTAGTGAATTGCCTCTGAATAACAAAATCGCAGCCCCGAGGCAAAGGCAGCAA